CCCTGCACAAAGCCAAGCACTCAGCTCGGAGCGCTGCCAACACAAGCCCACCTTCCCCTCCCGTGCTGCCTTGTCCGTTAGAGGAAGGTTGTTGGGACATAGCCCGTTTCCTACCCCAGCCACCCCCGCGCAAATTTGGCCAGGCACCAGCACCATCACGACAAACACAGCTCACTTGTGCACACAACACGGCAAACAGCTCCAATCAACAGCCCTCGAGACTCACCTTCTCCCCTTGGGGATACTTCTTGAGTTTAACCAGGACCTGGGGGATCTGAAAGACACGGGGCACAGATGTGACCGACAGAGGCAGACCCCATTCTGCACTCAGGACCTCCCAGCAACACAGGCAGCAGGAGCCCACATGAAACACGCCTGCAAGCAGCTGCTCCCCCAGCCCCGGGGAAAGGAGCATTTCTGGAGCAGCCCGTGTGCCCAGGAGACTTTGTCCCCCCGCCTCCCCTCTGCAGGGTCCTTCCACCGTCACAGGGAGCCGCAGAGCATGGCCACCTCTCAACAGCCAGGCAGAGGACTGAGGCTGCGGAGGAGCCCAGTGCAGGCCAGAGCGTGTGTCAGGCCTGAAATTACACACAGATCCCTTTTGTCTGGTACAAAGAAAGGAGGTGAAGCAGACTGCTCGGGGGCTGCCCACCGCTGAGCTGTGGGAGCGCAGGCCCCAAAGCTGCTGTGGCATCCTTCAAAGGCCACGATTTCCCACACAACATCCCAGGAAAGCCACTCTGCAAAATAAAGTGGGGCTGGGCGGAGAAGAAGCCCTGGACAGCAAAGCTGATGCTCAGTGGGTTGCAGGAGGGCTGCTGTGGGCTCAGCCGGGGCATGGGGGGACCCCAGGGGCCTGCTACGGGACAGAACTAATTGGTCTGCCAGCATTCGGTGCTTGGCAGGGGCCAGGCGTGCGGGGAAAAGGCAGCGGCAGGCCCCGGCCCCGGGCGCTTGCGGCAGGGCTGGGCCCTACCTTCAGGAAGGTGAAGGCTGTCCACTTCAGCTCCTCCGTGCCCTCCGGGGACTCGATGAGGCCCACAAAACAGGCCTTCCAGATCTCCAGCACAAAGAGCGGGGAGGGGATGCGCTGCGGGGCACAACAGACAAAACCCTCCAGTGCTGGAAAGGCAATAAAGTGACTCCCCCAACCACAGCCAAACCCTGACCCCCCTGCGAAGGTGTTGATGGGCTCACGCTGCTCCCTGCAGCTGCGCCCACCCCCTTGGACCAGGAGCAAGACCAGCACAGGGAGGTACACAGCACAGAGCTGCAGCGAGGCCCTGGTCCCGCAGCCCCCAGGCCACCCTGAGCAGCAGAACAAGGTGCCACTTCTGTACCTGCATCCTCTTCACCATCATCAGCTGCTCCACCAGTGGCTGGGTCTCTCCTGTGAGGTTCATGGTCCCCTCCAGCAGCACCACGGCATGCACGGTGGGGAAGCCGGTCTTGTTCAGCTGCTCGGAGTGAACTGAGAGCATGGTGGGGATGCTGGGTGGGAGACAACAGCACAGGGTCACTGGAGCCTTGCAGGGACGGATCCTTGCTTCTCCTGTCCCATCCTCCCTTCCCGGCCAAGCCCCTGACCTTTGCTGTCCTGCATCTCTCTGGGGCAGGACAGCTTGTAGCTCCTGTGCCCTGCAGAGGAGCCCTTGGGCACAGCCAAGCCCCCGCGCTACAGCCCAGGCCCTGGGAGCAGCTCCGGGGGGATCCAGAGCAGGACCGGCAGCTCTGGTGTGGCCAGAGCAGCTGAGGGATGGCGAGAGGCCCCAGGGCCGCCAGCGGAGCAACCCCTGGGTAAGACTCCTTTGCAGCAAGTCACCACTAGCCCTGTCCCCTCTCCTACCCCAGGGCCTCTCGCCAGCCCCAGTCTGCTGCTGGTGCAGGGTTCCAAGCCGAGAAGGGACAGGAAAGCAGGGAGCCAGCGTGGAGGGAGGCAGGAGGCTCTCAGCCCCCAGAGCAGGGCTCAGACCCGTTTTACCCTCCGAGCCCGCAGAAACAGCGGTGCAAAGCTACCTCTTGATGAGGGAGATGCAGTCATCAGCCTGGCTTCGCAGCGGGGAGTTGCTGAGGCTGTTCAGGCTCTCCCCCAGCTTGACGAGGGACTGCTCCACAGTGCTCCAGGAGGCTGGGGAGGGAGGGCAGGCGTTCAGTGGAGGGGACAGTGACAGGCTGAGAAGCCAGGCAGGCTGCCTCCAAGGCCCACGGCAGCATAGAGGGCCTGCTGAGGCTGGGGCTCCCCACCGGGCCCCGTGGTGAGCAGAAGTCGGCACACCTCTGTGACCTCAGGGGATGGAGCTCCTGCCTCAGGCTCAGCCTGGCACAGCCTCTTGGCCAGACGCAGGCACCAACCGAAAGTGCAGGGCTGTGCCAAGCACGCTGGCGGAGCACAGGGCCTGCCACGCGCCCAGGAACAGCTCACGCAGCCTTCACATTAATTCTGCTCCTCTTCCAAGGGCAGCATGGAGGGGAGGGGGGGCAGAGGGTGGCACGGAGCCAGGGAGGAGACGGTTACAGCAACAGGGCTGGAAGATGGATGGGCTTGGAGCCGCAGGGACAATGCGGCAGGAGCCAGGCAGGGGGAAGGGAGAGGTGGCAATGACATCTCCCCAGGGCAACCAGCGACTTGGAGGAAGCCCTGGCAGCAGCCATAGGCAGAGCGTGCCGTGGGGCAGGGCAGGGGCAGCGACATACACGTCTCCTCCAGCTTCGCGATGTGGATCAGGGCGCGGTTCTTGGCGCTGCCGAGCATCTTCTCCAGCCGCTCCAGACACATCTTCAGCTGGCTCTCAGCTGCCACCTGCTCCAGCGTCTCCTTCACCTTGTCGGCGTAGAAGGCCGCGCAGCGCAGGAGCCAGTTGAGGGCACTCATCAGCGCCCGGCAGAGGCCGATGCACTCCTCTGCTTTGCCGTGGCAGCTGGGAAGGGGAGAGAAATGGGACCGTGCTCACCGTTTCCCACCCCAGGGAAACCGAGGCACAGGCAGGGGGCAGCCTGGGGATCCAAACCCACATCCCGTGCTCCCAGCCCAGCGTGCCCGCTGGCTCCTGGCTCCTCTGCCGCAGATCCCAACCTGCTCAACCCACGAGCATCCCCGCTGTGCCAGGGGAAATAAAATCTCCCCAGTGCAGCCTCCTCTCTGGCCACTCTACTACAGGGAAACTTTCCAAGCCTCTAATCAAATTATCTTGCTAAGAGAGGCTCAGCATTGATCAATGTGCTGCGAGAGGTGAACGCTTTCCTCTCCTGATGCACAAATCATTGGGGCCAGAAGTTTTGATCGAATTAAGCAGAGGATCAGATTAGGCAGGGACCGGATTAAGTGGCCGGCTCTGCAGTTGGCCAGCAACAGCTCCTTGTCAACATCTGTGACTGATGCATATTCATTGCTGCTGCTTCATTGCATGTAATTGAAGAGCTGCTACCTTCAGCCTTCCTCCTCCCGCTGCCCCCCGCCGCATGCTCTCCGCTCCAGCCTCCCAGAAGAGGCTGTCAGGGGTTAACAGGAAGATTTCTGAGCTTTCTAAAAAAGTTTTTGTGGCCTGAATGGTCTGGACTCCCCTGGGTCCTGCAACACCAGCGGAAGAGCACGAAGCAAAACAAGGCAGCTGCCTGGAACGCCTGGGACAGAGCAGGCAGGACTGCGACCACTGCTAGACAGGGACAGACAGGGACACGTAGCCGGGGCCCTGGGAAGCTGCAGAGGCTACACAAGAGAAACGAAACGCTCCGAGGGGACAGACACCCTCAGACCACAGGGCTTACGCCCAGCCCTATCTACCTGATAGGCAGGAATATCACGGCAGAGGCGTTTATCCCAGAAGAGGTGGGTTTCTTGCAGCTTCCCACAAAGCTGGTGGGTTTTGGACTCCCTCTGCTCTCTCCATGCTGGCACTCGCGTGGGAGCCCAGCCTGAGGCAGCCGGAGGGGGACAGCAACTCAGGAATGGACACGGAGCTGGAGGGGGAACCTGCCTCCCTCTGCCACGGCAAATATCCTGGGCTCAGCCGGGCCCCACCGGCTCCCGGACCGCCCACGGTACAGCCTGGGGCCGAGGCGGCAGGGCTGGAAGGGCCACACCATACCTGAGGCGGTCGCAGAACATGTCCATGATCTCCAACAGCGACTGGACACACAGGTCCCGGGAGAAGTCGTCAAACTAGAGCAGGAGAACAAGGAAGGATTTCAGATGGGGGCTGCAGGGCTCCAGC